CCTCTATGTTCTCTGCCTCTACTCTTCACTGGCACTATTCTGCATTTCCTTCCATGTCGTTCGTTCCTGTGTGCTGCACTTCCCATGAGGAGATTTGATTGTGTCTTGTATCTTGCTATTTCGTTTAAGAATCGTGAGGTATCATGAGCTGGCGCGTAGTAGTGTGAGGGAGTGTGAGGGAGCGTGATGGAGCGTGGGGGAGTGTGAGGGAGTATGAGGGAGCGTGATGGAGCGTGGGGGAGTGTGAGGGAGCGTGGGGGAGTGTGAGGGAGCATGAGGGAGTGTGAGGGAGTATGAGGGAGCGTGATGGAGCGTGGGGGAGTGTGAGGGAGTGTGAGGGAGTGTGAGGGAGTGTGAGGGAGTGTGAGGGAGTATGAGGGAGCGTGATGGAGCGTGGGGGAGTGTGAGGGAGCGTGAGGGAGTGTGAAGGAGTATGAGGGAGCGTGATGGAGCGTGGGGGAGTGTGAGGGAGCGTGGGGGAGTGTGAGGGAGCGTGCAGGGAGACAATATGCTACACAAGGGACACAGGCTTCATCTCTCTTTTTTACTCCCATCTCAAACTTGCCCAAACTCGATTAGCAAGAAGTGCGTCAATACTTCCTTTTGCACCCCCCCCCTCCTGCACCCCCCCCCCCCTCCTGCACCTTACACCCTCCTGCACCCCCCCTCCTGCACCCCCCCCCCTCCTGCACCCCCCCCCCCTCCTGCACCTCACACCCTCCTGCACCTCACATCTCGATCTCCACCCAACCAGGCTGCTAGAAGCTACACACCTGCCTCACAGCTCCACACACCTGCCTCACAGCTCCACACACCTGCCTCACAGCTCCACACACCTGCCTCACAGGCTCCATACACCTGCCTCACAGCTCCACACACCTGCCTCACAGCTCCATACACCTGCCTCACAGGCTCCACACACCTGCCTCACAGCTCCACACACCTGCCTCACAGGCTCCATACACCTGCCTCACAGCTCCACACACCTGCCTCACAGGCTCCACACACCTGCCTCACAGGCTACATACATGACAACCCTGAAGTGGCGAACAGGTTACCCTCTAGGAGAGCCAAATGGCAGTGACAGGTTCCATATATGACTGTACCACTATTTAGTTTACAACATGAACAACAGGAAGAACATGAACAGCAGAAAGAAAATGAGCTGGAAGAAGAACTACATACACCGCAAGAAGGACAACATGAACAGCACTAAGAACATGAACAGCACTAAGAACATGAACAGCACTAAAAACATGAACAACAGGAGAAGCAACATGAACAACGGGAACCACCAACACGACCATCAACCAATAAAATGTTCCACTCTGCCTCAATAATTACGACCGTCAATCACTTGTCATATACCAACATCCATATTCATGTGGTCACTTTTGATGTTCCGCCCCCCCCCCTTCACCCCCATTCCCCCCCCACTACTCCTCCTACCACCATCCCTCCTGCCCCCCCCCCTCTTGTCATCACCCCTTGTTCTACAACCCCTTCTCCTACCACCCCCTCTTCTACAACCCCCCTTCTACAACCCCCCTTCTACAACCCTGCAACCAGCAGCCCGCCCAGACGCCGCTAAGCACACACCTGCCTCACCTACACAGGTGGGAAAGGGGGGGGGGAACAGGGGAAAAGGAATGGTGCCCAACCACTTTTGGACGGTCGAGGGGGGATTGAACGCCGACCTGCATGAAGCCAGACCGTCGCTCTACCGTCCAGCCCAAGTGGTTGGACGGAGTAGCAGCACAGGTAGTGGGGAGGGGGGGGGAAGTAGTTCCTGGTGGTGGAGGGGGGGGGAGTGGTGGAGAGGCAGGTGGCGGGCGAGCACGTGCTGGGGGAGGGATAGGGATAGTAGGAGAGTGGGGGGGGGGAAGGAGAGTAGGTGAGTGCGGGGGGGGGGGGGGGGGGGAGGGAGAGTGAGAGGGAGGGGGAGGGAAGATTGAATGAGAGGGAGAGGTTGAATAAAGAGCGAGAAGGAAGAAAAGGGGGTTGAAACAGGAAGAAAGAAGGATAAAGACGAAGAAGGAGAGAAGAAGGAAGGAATAATTAGGAAGACAGCAGAAGGAATCACGCAAGGAAGCAGGAGGAGGACGAGGAGGAGAACATGGGTAAGTAGTTTCAAAGGACTAATGATGGAAAAATAAATAAAAGAAAATGAAAAGAATGTAAAAGTATAAGGTAAAGTAGAAAAGAAAAAGGGAGGAGTAGCTCGCTGGGGCAGGGGTGGAGGGGGAGGTAGGTGAATGGGAGGGGGGTATGTGGGGGGGGGGGAGGGGGGCGTCAGCTGGACAGCGACATAGTGATGAGGACACGTGCTAGGTCTTAAGACGGGCAGCTGAGGACAGACTGCACTCGCCTCTTCCTCTCTCTCTCTCTCTCTCTCTCTCTCTCTCTCTCTCTCTCTCTCTCTCTCTCTCTCTCTCTCTCGAGGAATATCCTCTATCACTCCACTGTCATTATAAACAATGGTTTGCTGTTTCGTCAATTAGTTGTGCTTGCGGGGGTTGAGCTTTGGCTCTTTGGTCCCGCCTCTCAACTGTCAATCAACTGGTGTACACGTTCCTGAGCCAACTGGGCTCTATCATATCTACATTTGAAACTGTGTATGGAGTCAGCCACCACCACATCACTTCCTAATGCATTCCAACTGTTAACTACTCTGACACGGAAACAGTTCTTTCTAACGTCCCTGTGGCTCATGTGGGTACTCAGTCTCATACCTGTGACCCCTTGTTCGCGTACCACGCTTAGTAATGGCAACCTTAGTGCCATTTGGGGCGATAGAAACCACTCTTACGACCTGGAGGCAATGACGTCGTTGACACCACCTCCAAACGACCTCAACTACCCAGGCGATCGTTTCTCCAGTGGCGCCACGAGCAGCCACGTCTCCAGCCAATGGGAGGACGGGACGAAGGTGACGTCCCGGGCCCTAGGGTAGTAACTAAGGCAGTCAGTCCCTGTCTGACTCGAGGGATAGGTCGACCTGCTCTGAACTTCTGTTTAGCTTAGCTTTAGTCTAAATTAGGGTTTTCTGTAATGTCCCGTTTTCTCACGTATCGCCTAAAGGTCAATGTCCGGATATAGACAGCGTCTCGTAACACTGGTGCTGTACTTTGGTTAGGAGTAGATCTGAGAGGGATTAGTTGAGGGTCTAACTAATGTAAGTTAGTCAATTAGGTTAGGGCAAGTCCTCCTCAGCAGCAGCAGCTGAGGAGGAAAAGGGGGGAAGGTTGGGCCTCCCCTGGCCCCCCCACATTGAGGAGCAGTGTGTGGGGAGAGGGGAGGAAACCAAGGTAAGAGTGTGGGAATCTATGGGGAAATGTGGAACACAGAGATATATTAAGTAGAAGTAACAGACCCATTTCATTATGTCGTGAACCTAATGCGAGTATGGACTAAGTGTATTACTGCTTAATATAGTTGCTACAGAGGTGTAGGGTAATAGAAGAGGATTGAATTACTCTGGACGATACACGATTTGGAATATTATCACTGGGACAGACTGGAGACAATGTCGCTCAACATATATTTAAGTCTCCGTCTAACTTCCTCTACATTCTCTCTAAAGTCACCGTTTTCTATGTTAACACATACACGGACAGACCCGTAAAATTGTCAGGCAGCACTACCACAAATTCGGATTTTTTTTTTTATATATACACATGAGCTGTTGCATTCTTGTAGAGCCACTAGTACGCGTAGCGTTTTGGGCAGGTTCCTGGAATACGATCCCCGCCGCGAAGAATCTTTGTTACAACCAAGTACACATTTTACTGTTGCGTTAAACAGAGGCTACAGTTAAGGATTTGCGCCCAGTAAATCCTCCCCGGCCAGGATACGAACCCACAACAAAGCGCTCGCGGAACGCCAGGCGAGTGTCTTACCACTACACCACGGAGACTGGTAACAATATTTCAAACTAACTCTTGGGTTAACTATTTACTGCAACCTGAATAGAGGCATCAGGTGTGAAGAAAGTTGTCTAACTGCTTATGTCCTCCCCTGGGATTGAACGCAAGTCCCTTTATTCAGTGCCGAGGACGTAGACTCCTGTGCTACAATACTTCCTGTGCAGGCGATGAGTCACAATAACGTGGCTGACGTATGTTGACCAGACCACACACTAGGTGAAGGGACGACGACGTTTCGGTCCATCCTGGACCATTCTCAAATCGATTGAGAATCGTCAATCGACGACGAAACGTCGTCGTCCCTTCACCTTCTAGTGTGCAGTCTGGTCTAAAAGACTCCTTACCTTTGGGTTATCTTGCGGTGGCTCCAGGGGTCAAGGTCCCCGCGGCCCGGTCACTGACTAGGCCGCTATATTTACTTTATGTTCACTAAATGTCAGGTCGTCAGACATCATAATTCCCAAATCTTTTTACGTGTTGCTTTCCTTCTATAAGTCTGATTGCGTCCTGTACCCTGTATTTCGTTAAGTTCCTCGTTTCTATCACCAAACCTAAGTACTTGGAACTCATCCCCGTTAAACATAATGTTATTTTCCGTTGCCCAATCAAAGACCTTATTTTATTGGCTTGCAGTTTTTCAGTAACTTCAACAGAAACAATTCATATATTGATTTTTGTATCATCAGCAAAGGATGACACGGACCGGTGACTAATGGGTGGTGGTAGATGACATGTTTGAGGTTTCGGTGTAAGCGGTAATGACAGTTGTGGTGCTGGGGATGGTGGTGATAATGGTAGTTGAGAGATGGAAGGAATAAGGGTTGTAATAATGGAATGGGGGTGATTGATGGTGGTAGAGGTAGCAGTGGTGGGCAGGGTAAGAGGAGGTAGAGAGCGTTGAATTGTTGTCGATGAAATGGTGGTGGAGAATACCGGTTGTGTTGCGGTGAAGTGGGGGTGTGATGATTTGACGTGCGATGGTGTTGAGTAATGAGATATGGAAGGAGTTCATCATATTAATAAAGCAATGCATCGGTAATTGTACACTCGGGTTATTTGGCTGTTAGAACGTACCTGCATTATCAAGTAGGTCCTTGAGGTTCGCTTCCGATGTGTCTCCAGTGGATGTGTAGCGGCTGCCTTCAACTCGAACACTGCGACGGATACTAACACCACTTACACTTCTCATAAGTCCTCCCTGAAAAGCAAAAGAAAACGCATTATATTTTCAATTATAGAAAATGTAAACGTTCACACCACTAACTATTATACTTACACTTGTCTGATGTATTACACGCGGACATACTGGGTCACAATGTAAAATGGACTTCTTGCTGTGGGTCGCAATAACAAAATATTTGGAAAACGCTACCCTAAGGTCGTAGTGTAATATGATGATTGAAAATTGGATGTTTGGACGAGGTATAGACAAATTGTAGACAGGCAGTCCGGCCTCTCTAGCGTTCCCAACGCCACTAATGTAGTGAATTCTCGGAATCGGAGGACCCACCAATAGAAAACGGGACATTACGTCCATTTCGCGAGCCGCTATGATTTTTAGTACATAAGTTAATGGCCTTAGGGAATTTATACGTCAAAATGCAATGTACTATGCGAACCGTCCATCGATGGTTCGACAATCTCGTTTTCTGAGTGTTAAAAAGAGTTATATCACTAGGATAGAATGTATTGGCTTATGCTAGGCTGTATTAGGTTTGGTTAAGTTGCGTTATAAAATTCGTTGGCGAACCGTCTGGCGCTCACTTAGTTGTGCCTGCGAGGGGTTGAGCTTCGACTCTGGTCCCGCCTCTGAACCGTCAGCCAACTGGTGTACCGGTTCCTGAGCCAACTGGGCTCTATCACGCCTACAATTTAAATTGTACATGTTGTGTGCCTCTATTTAAACCCAACGCGTAGGCCTAAATGAACATATATCTTAATGGCTGGAGGTGACAAGTGGAATACTGCGACAACGGTCAGTCTCAGCCTAAGTTATGTATATATTGACGTAAATGACATCAATAATGAGCTGGCCTATGTAACATGTCCTCAGAGAGGAAATCCCCTCACGGGAATGGATTGAGAACGACTTCATAATTAGTGCTAGTATCCACCCTCTATCCATGGTTAGGTTTTACCTTGACATGGTTTCGGGGCTTAGCGTCCCCGCGGCCCGGTCGTCGACCAGGTCTCCTTGTTGCTGGACTGGTCAACCAAGATGTTGGACGTAGCTGCTCGCAGCCTGACGTATGCGTCACGGCCTGGTTGATCAGGTATCCTTTGGAGATGCTTATCCAGTTCTCTCTTGAACACTGTGAGGGGGTCGGCCAGTTATGCCCCTTATGTGTAGTGGAAGCGTGTTGAACAGTCTCGGGCCTCTGATGTTGGTAGAGTTCACTCTCAGAATACCTGTTGGACCTCTGTTCTTCAACGGGGGTATTTTGTACATCCTGCCATGTCTTCTGGTCTCATGTGATGTTATTTCTGTGTGCAGGTTTGGGACCAGCCCCTCTAATATTTTCCACGATAAAATTATTATATATCTCTCCCGCCTCCGCTCAAGAGAAAACAGATTAGGTTAGATTAGGTTTCATTACGTTTGGTTACGTTAATACGGTGTATATTGACGATAATATGAAATTCAAAAACGATCAGAATGAACCAGAGAATTCATGTTACTGAATACCAAATTCTTCAAAACAACAAAAACGTTTTCAGCATATACTTTTTTATGTTTTAAACCAACGCCTTATAATATAATAAAGTTATTACCAAAAATAACTGTTAAGGACACAGTAAACTACATGTTCAGGACTACATGTAAATTGACAAGGTTCACTTTCCAATTTACATGTGGACTATTACTGGAACCGTAATATGCATTCAGACCATCACATATATTTACATAACTATCCAGCTGGTTTGAAGAGGGGTGTGGTTTCTCAAGGTCACGGATTTGATCTGAGGACGGGCTCCCCTAAGGTGGCGGACCTGCACTTAGGCCTGGGAGTGAGGCACTTAGGAAGGAGGCCTGGTCGACGACCGGGCCGCGGGGACGCTGAGCCCCGGAAGCACCTCAAGGTAAGGTAAGGCTTGTATCGTGCCCTCCCCCACGTAGGTCAAACTATTGACCTTCCCTCAAGATGCCAAACCTGTCTTTTCAAACAAAAACGTCGTTAAATTAAATTTTAAATTTTGCCCCCAAAGGGCGAGTTTATTGGGCAGCGCCACTCATCCTGTGAGTGGACACGCCGCCATAGCAGCATGCACAACACTCCCCAATAGGAAGAAAACCCGCTGATGGGTTGTTTATCCTGTCACTTGTACCCAGACACAGCTGGGACTTGCTTAACTGTCTCGTTAAGGTATGTTATTGTCACCAACGGAAAGCAACGGTTTCCAAACATCCGTTTTCTATGCATCGGCTTGTTAGGTTTGGTAGGCGGCTGGGGTTCGTACATTTCTGGTTAAGACGATGGATTTTGTATATTGTGACAGAGAGAACAGGTGAAAGATACGACCCACAACAGTTGCCTAACTCCCGAGTACCTATTTCAGTGTTGGGTGACCAGAAGCACCAGGTAAAAAGAAATCGTTGCCCAACCGTCTCTGCCCAGCCCGTGGATCGAACCTTGGGTCCTCGGCTGTGAGCTGAGGATGTAGACCACTGCGCTACAGGGTCCATAATAACAAAGCCAAAAAAATAAAATTGCTTGAGTACTTAAGTTACACATTTTGCTATTTTCTTTCTGCTATTTTCTCGGCGAATTCCCTCACCTCCTCCTCTCACCTTCGGTGACCTCTGGTCGTGACCTTAAATGACCCGAGCCTGGAAAATGACGCTGTTCTTCCACCTTATAATTTAACTCGCCAACCTGCTGCTAACGAGTCCATAACGACCCAGCGACCTCTGACGGTGGTACTGTTGGATGACCTCCGCAGAACGCACAAAGAAAACGGAGCGTGACGGCCGACAAGGGGTGACTCTCGCAAACGGTTCCACACGATAAAAGTACGTAACAAGGAATGTTACATCAATTATTTTACATATAATATATTTATTGCATAAAGCAAGAGTTTCAGACTATCCTTTGTATGGACACCTGAGTCATTAACACTGGCTAGGTGCTTGTTAATCTCGCAGCCGCCAAACCCTTGTTTAGGAATGAAAAAGACCTGACACCTTGGGACCCAAGAGCCGAAACTCGACCTCAGCAAGCATGACGAAGGCAGCCCGTCCTCATCAACAAAGTCGAACTGATTGTTAATCAAGCCACCAAAACCATTGTTTATGAATAACAAATAATCGCCAACAGAACCTAATAATCATAATATATGTATGAAGAACGAGCCTATTTGTAATACATAATACGTTAAAATGTATGAATTGTGTCTCTAGGGTCGGCCGCCGCTTTAACGAACCTGGCCTGAGGACAGTGTAAAGGTGCGATCGAACACAGGAAGAGAGCAAAGAACTCTTTTTAAGGAAAGTTGGAACGAAATCAGTGTTTTAGTTTAACGAGCATTTGTCCATTGTTTGTTAAGACATGCTGGCATTATATGAACTTACTGAACGTTCATGAAACATTTAAACCAACCCGTCTTCGGGCAATGTTCATTCCATCCAGCGGCCGACCCCAAATACCCATTCGTTAATTTGCACATGCTGTTTATACAAAATACAACTAAATATTATACATTATCATATCTTATGGGTTGGGTGTCTAATTTTCAGCCACTTAATTGTGACTTACTGTCTACATTTTGTACATATTTAGGCCTAGGTTAGGTATTTAGATTATGTGGGCAATTATTTGTATTTGTAGTACATGGGTGAAGTATTTACAGAGGCACGATTCAAACAGAGGTCGCCAGCGAAGCTATATTTGAGAAAAGTATGAACGTCATCAGTTGTAAATCGTGTGTAAAGTATTTTTCATTCATAAACAGTGGATTTGGCGGGTAGATAAGAGTATTTGGCCTTTGTTGATGAGGCGAGGCTTTACACGTGTCTAAACAGCCTATCGTCTAAACTGAACATTTGGGGATTTAAAACTTGTAAGTCGAACACAAATTAATTTTAATCTACATTAATCAATATTAGGCTTATAGCCAACTTGACCATGTTCGAAGCTACAATTCGAACATGTTTGCTTCACTTGACGCCTGTAAACACTCCTTAAACCATCGCAACTAAACCATCTGATCCAACTTTACATAGACTTAACTACGCGCCAGCCATCAATATAAATCAATTTATATTCGATATTTTATTTATTATTATTATTCCGCATTAAAGATACACCGTAAGAGTTAGCTGTCAACAGTATAAGACAAATATTGACTTATGAAAACGTGTATAAGTCAGGATATTTACTTATATCCTGAGACAAGGCTTTATCCTGGGATAAGTCTTAGACGAGTACTAACATAGGATTAACTGTGACGGGAGAACCTGTCCTCTCACTTAATACATCCCAATTTGTGTTTATGTTAGAGACCTCAACATAAATATGTGTTGTGGTTTGATGAAAGTTCAAAACATTGCAGTGTTGACGTTTCACGGAGGGTTGACGGGGAACCGGGAGGTCAGGCGAGGTGTTGCCTTGATTCGAACGCTTCTGGCTAGCTGAAACCGCAGCAAATTTGACGGTTATTATGGCGTGAGAACCAGGCAGCCGCAGCTTGGATGAGCATGGGTGCCACGGCGTCATCCACCGATTAAACATTTCACACGTAGACATAAACATTAGTCTACAATGTGTAAACGTTACCCCACACAGGTGTGAACATCACCAATGCATGTGTTTAAACATTACCTAGTCACGTGAGTCTAACACTGCCAAACAGGTGTAAATATCCATCGCATAGATTTACAGACAAGTGCACAGGTGTAGAGAGAGACACACACGAGTCAGCACCGCTCCTGTGCCAGGTAAGTCCACTACGGGCTCACCATAGTCCGTGCTACTTGGAACTTATTCCGAGTAGCTGAATCTATAACAACGACAACAGGTGTAGAGGGAAGGTAGGTAGAGGGAAGACACGTGGCAGGAGGGAGCAGGAGGGACCAGGAGGAGGGAGGAAAGGGGGGTAGAGGGAGAGAGCAGGTAATTAACCAATCAGGACCCTCCAACGAGGCCAATAAACACTCTCATGGTCAAAAATACTAACTTTTACTTCGTGTAAGAATGTGAA